TATTTCAATATTCACATTATTGAAATAAAAATTAAAATATTTCATTTATTTACTACAAAGTCGCTAGTCAACCTTACTTGATATGGATAAAAATTGATCAAGATATAAGTAATAATATTTCATATCAAAATTTTTTCAATAAAAATTTATAATCATACAAATAAGAAAATAAAACGAAAGTAACTACCTGTTGAGAAGAATTGGCTTGTTGATTATTGTATCTGGCAAGAATTGCCGGATTGAGACGACGTCTCGACAATGCAGTTACTGGCATTTTAACGATTTTATCGCATCACAATGAATGTCTGTTTCTTTTATTAATTGCACATTAGAATCCAATTGATGATTAAAATTCGTCAGATTTTACATATTCTTCATATCTTTCAACTTTTTTATATATTTTTTAATTAATATTTTCAACACTTCAATACACAACGAATAAATTTAAATACACACAATTGAATTAAGTTTTAAATTATAAATTTAAATTTTTCATGTTAGAATGATTAATTTAACTATTTAAAAAATGAATTCTCTACTTAGTTTAATAATTAATTAATTCTCCGTTATGATGTTAATAAAAAACCGAAAATACTATTAAAGTTGATTCTCGGACTTATCTTTGCGCAAGCTTAGATCGATTATTAAACGTTATCGCAATTATATCTTATATTAAATCACATTACATACTTTGATGATCTTAATCATTCACGTGAAATGAATCAGTTACGAGTTTTTTCTCGAATCTTATAATAGATGTGTCATAAAAATTATTAAGATAAATTCCTTAACACGATCAATCCAATCAATCCAATATAATTCACTGACGAAATATTTAAATGTTTATTTCGTAAATATTATTTAAATATTATTGAAAAATACAAGGGAAATATTGATTTCTGACAAAATTATTTTTAATTTTTTTAAAATATTTTGAAAGAACAAGAAAAACACTATATAGAATAATATATTTATGGAACACCTTTAGAGGGTCGATTTTCAAGATCAAAATAAACATAAGAGTTGATATGCAAAAATATCCGTTAAAATTTAGTTTTCAAGTTGTGAACAATTTAATTTTACTTTATAATGAAATAAAATAGATAGGGATATCACTTATTCATCACTGTATGTGAAAATAAAAATTATTATCATATTTGTATACAAACTTATCAAAAATTCCCATAAAATTATACGTTATGTATCGATCGTGTTAAGATTTAAAAACAACAAAGAAAATTTAAGTAATTTTCTTAATATTTCGTCTTTGAATTGATGAATAGAAAAAAATATCACAACGAGGCACAATCGAAAAACGAAAAAAATTATTTCTGAAAGTATGAAAGTATGAAGTTACGGAACGAAACGCATGTTCTTAATATTGCGAACACGGGGCACGCTTCCACGCGTGTCGGCCGACAATTGGAATGTGACTAGCCTTATCAGAAACTTACCGCTGCCGTAGTGTCCGAAGTACCCGTGGCGGTTGTGACGTTGTCGTAGTTATAGTGATCATCGTCATCATGCCGGCATTTATCGCGTCGCGTGCGGTCATCCAACATCCGCGTGAAACCGGAAACAGAAGAACGGAGAAAGAGGGAGGAAAGACAAGTGCGATAAAAGGATAACGGGAAGGAGGAAAAGGAATAGTGATGCAAAGGGGGAAAAAAATATGTTAGTCTACTGTAAAGTATTTTATGATTTTATAAATATACATATAATGTTTTAATATAGTGTTTTCTTTTTTTTTGCAAATAATTAGGAAAAACTGAAATTAACTAACTGCTATAAAATCATCATAATAAATATCAAATTTCATTATTAGTATTTATATTCGATTATTATACTGTTGCGTTTATGCTATCTTCTTAGCTATTGATTTGTATTCTTCCCACTGTCAATCGTGGAATGCAATGAAGGAATTAATATAATTTAACTGTCGAAGTATTAGGTACATTATTGGGCAATTAGGTCGATCTATTAGGCGATCCAGTAATTATCTTGAACAGGATATTAAGTGCTAGAACATCACAGAGGAATGACCTCGTTCCAGTTCTACTTTATATATGTTCGAGCAAATAATTATTAATAAGCAAATAATATCATTCAAATAAAATATATCTTTTTTTAAACTTCTATCAAAGAAATATTGGTTCTGATAATTTATGTATGGAAATAATTTTTTGCATTCCAATTAACAATTTTTTCAATTCCCAAGATATCTTGAACGAACTTCAAGATATTTCAAATATCGTTCTCGTTTCAATCGGTTAATGTACGCGCGACGATCCAATTAAAAGGTACGTCTCTCGAATGTAGTTTCGGTCGAGCAATTTAATCGAAACATCGATAATGCACCGCAAATTAATCTGTTTCGTTCAATACAAGTCGAACACGCACAAATTATGCCTGTCAACTTTGTTAGAAGAGATATAAATTAGTATTGTCCCTCGATTAATAAGAGTTTCGGAGCATCGAGTTTAATTGGCAACACTTTATTTTTAATTTATCAAATTGAATTATCAAGTAGAACCAGTTCTGCTATTGAATTAACCTTAATTTTTCTCAAGAGATCTTTTCTTTTATATTCGCATGATCAATTATGATTATTTAATTGCTAAATATCATTTAACTCATTTCATTGCTAATTAATAAAATCGCAAAAGGATTCGCTTACGTGTATTTTGTGGGATAAACACTACGGTGGAAGTTTCCATTTTGATCATAGGGACATCAACTCTCTCTCTCTTACTTTGTCGCCGCTATCAAACTTTTTCTTTCAACTGGAAAGAGTTAGAATCACGGGACCAGCTCGAGACGTGAGTAAACGCGACCCGAAAATAGATATCGCAAAAAGTAGAAAACCGCGAAAATTCCAATGTCGGATCTTAAATATCATTAGAATTCTTCTCGCGATTCGTCTCGAGACATCGATTCAATTGATGTTTCGAACAAACGACTATTGGAACTCTTCGAACACGATATCACTATGAACGAAAAGATAATCGTTCACTGTTAAAGATTACTTTCCTTATATATTTATGCTGCATATAAGATGAATATTCTTCGATGCAAAGTATCGGAATATTAATGACCAATCGATGAGTTTATTCGATGAGATTCAAATTTATCGTGAAAGAAATTATATAAATAATGAGATATTTGTCACATTGCACAAATTGTAAATAAAATATAATTCTATAGGAAAAGGAAAAATTGTAATCGATCGAATTAATTGAATTAATAAGTCGGTCACAATGGCCTCTCCTTCTTCGATATCGGTTGCTTTTTTACCGTGTCAACGGATTGGATATTGACGAGATAACCGCGATAGAAGCGAGATTCCTAAGGTTTCGTTACGCTACAAAAGAAACACAAAACTTGAAATTGGATTATAGAGAGGAGGAGCACCGACTCGCGATTTCACGTCGCGTTTTCTGGCTACTCGCGCGGAATAAAAATATCTGGAAATTCCACGGCCTTTCTACGGAAAAAAAGATAGCTGCCTCTAATAAAATGATTTCGATGAGAACAATCCTTCTCGATGATCGATCACTTTCCACGTCCTTTATCGAATCCTCTCTTCGCTCACTTAATAACAATTGATCATTGGATTAAAACAAAAAAATTGTTGTCTTGTGAAACACACATTTCGCTTCTCATCGATGTCAGGTACAAAGAAATTGTCAAATAATATTAATCTGAGATCAAACTGGTCCCTGTGATTCGTTTAAATCACACTACAACCATTTCGTTATTAGCGAAAAAGAAAAAATATACTATCGAGAACTATCACGAACACGAAATTCTAAGATAATAAATAAAGAACACAATAATTCGATCATGTATGCCGGTTTACGAGGATGAACCGAAGGCTCCGCGTGTCTACACCTCGAATACAGAAAGTGTACTAAAATGTTGACGATGCACGCCGGTTCAAGATCGGTGGCTCCGCGTGTTTCACGTGCCGGCGAAGAAGTGGCCGACCGTTCTCTGTGCGCGGGACAATTATAATGTTAAACCTACGGTCTCTGCCTCCCTCTTTTCTTTCTTCCCTTCTTTCTATTTTATGTTCCGGCCGATGCACCGGTTTTATGCTACCATAACTGTTACTCCGTCAATCAACCGTCGAACTTCTATTACAAACGCACGATGCATCGCGATCTATTCTAAGATCGAGATAATGTTCGTTCGATCATCTCCTCACCGATGGTAATCGTATATACTTTTATCCCTAATAAAGGATTATTAAGGATTACAATCGAAATATTAAATATTGAATTTAAGTTTATGAGAAAAAGAATTATCTATAATTTATTTTAATCTTTTCAATATAATTTATAATCTAAAAATTAATAATATATATGTAATGTATCTAATATACTAATATAAAAGATTTAATAAAACTGAAAGATTATTGATTCATCGATAAACGTAATTAGAAAAGAGTTTGATTTTTATTGTTGAATAATGATAATTTTTGTTTCTGATAAAATAATATATATGGAAGAAATATCAAGAATTTACAGAGAATTCTAAATGAAAGAGGCGTTTCTTTTTATTGTGAATAATACATGACGCAAAGTTGTTTGAGTACTCGAAATTTGAAACGAGTATTCAAACAAGTTAATCTCGTTTTGTATCCAATTCAAACTAAGTACTTTTAGCTATTCGAATATTAAAATATTCGAATGTTTGGTTATGTTCGATTTTATTTGAATATTAAAATTTAGTTCAATGTCTTCCTTTTTTTTATATATTTAAAATATATGAATGTGGAAGTAAAATTGTGATTATTGAATAAATAACGATAACTTATCGATATGTTATCTATAATTTATCGGTAATTTAACAATGCTACAACGAAATCGTACTTATCGTAACTTATCGTAATAGTAAAATATTGATAATGATAATGAAGATTAGGAAACTAAAATTTGTACATTTAAACAATTAATTCTCTTATATTTTCTTTTATGCTTTTTTTCTATGCTTTATGCTATAAATATTATATATATTATAAAACCTTAATGATATTATCGATATTGAATCTAAAATAGTTAACACGATGCAAGAGGCGATAAGAAGTTTGAGCTCTTCAAATACAGTTAACTATTCATTCAAACTTCGAGGTCAGATAAATGAACGAATACAATAAAGTAAGTTCAAAATATCATCTCAAATGAACAATAACTAATTGGTTATTATTTTCGCCTTTCATTGTTACTGAATAATTCTTAATATTTGAGATAAAATTATTTTATTACAAAATATGCAAAATTATTACATTCTTAAAAACAACCATGTGAAATACTTTCTTTGCCATTCTTTTTTCTAGTAGTACAAGTACAAATGAATATACTTTTCAAGAAGAAAGCAAAAAAGATAGATAGACAAGATGTACTCACTGTTATTGCATTACTACCGAGATCGGTATATGTATATGACAGATATGATTTCATCAAGTCGTGTAGAATAATAGTTTAAAGTTACATGACTAAAGAAAACGAACTGGTTGAGAATACTACATTAGTGTAACTGGTAGAACTACGGGTAATATACAAATGTTATTTTCCAAACAATATTCTTAATATTTTTTTAATATTAAAATTTTAACTTTCAAAGTTTTTTATTTGTAAATTAAAGTGATTAAATATAATCTAAAATGAAATTATATATTATTTTTATAGTACGTATAAAATCTTCAATGGTTAATAAACGTAATCAAGATAAACAGTGTGTAGGAAGAGAATTCAGCTCTCAGAAAAGATTTGTTTTGATTTCTACTGGTTAACTTGAGATGGCAATTTACACCGGGCTATTTAAACCACTTGTGTACGGTTGAGTAAGTGATGGTGATAAGTGAAATGAAACATAACATCAAAGTACAGTGCATAACCAGCAAGCTTCATGATATTGTGTAACGAAAACGGAAACAAAATTTTATCTTTAAGTTTTATATCCGAGAATAAAATGAATACATATGTATTTTGATCTTGATAAATAGTTATTTAAATTTGTATTTCAATATGCACATAGTTATTTTTTTATATTACACACTGAATATAATACTTATAATAAAAAATAAAACCATGGCATAATATTTTTATCTAATATTTACAATAATGGAAAAATTATCATACGATATATTTGCACATAATAGGAAAAAGAGAAAATATACATGTTATATATAATGTTTTCTTAAAATTTGTTAACAACAAAATTCATAAGAAAAAAGAATAATATAAATTATATGACATTCAAAAAAATAAAAATTCTGTTAATAACATATTAGAATAATATGAATGAAAGGAATTTGAATTTCAAAAGTGTATGATTCACACGAAAACCAAAAAATATAATAAAAATATAATCTATATGGTTAAATTAAAGCGGCTGAACTATTTCACCGAATAGTTGGTAGGTTAGGTCGGCTGCTGTATTGACCGGGCAGTTACGGCGCTGTGTATTGACGCAAAAATTTGGCGCCCTCAAAATGGTTGTCTTTGCGAACCATCGAATTTCTATGTTTCATATATGTTGAAGAAAACTTCTGACTACTCACCACTTCTCTGCATCGTTCTGCCAGGACGTTACGATTCATTAAACATAACTCTACTGATCGAACAGCGTGAGAAAAATTTTAGCAGAACACCACCGACGTATCCATCAACGCGACACTAATACCCTATCAACACAACCAAGCACTCGTGCCTTAACCCAGCCGGACCGCTGTCTGGCATGCGATTTCAAATGATCTCGAAGAGAGTCGAATGAAAATCGAGATATGCGTGCGCAGAAATGTGGTTATGTCGACAGTTCGACCATGATTAACCGAGCAATGATTTTTTTATAAACAATTGAATAAAGATTTTCATTCGAAATAGTTCGTATTTGTTTCAAATGTACTATGAAATATTTAATATCTAAATATTATAATTATATATATTTTAATTTATTAATATATTATTAATAATTAGATTTGAATGAACGTCATTAACTTTATATTACTTTGCAAATTGCAATAAATATTTTTAATAAAAATGTAAGTATATAGTTTCTGTTTTTATTTTATATATAAATTAATCAAATACATCTTATAATTCATCAATTGCGCTATTAAAACACAATGGAAACTACCTTCACAGAATAGGAATATTTAGGTACATTAACTTAGTAGATGTTGGACATCTTGTATTGCATAAAAAAATAAATAATATTGATAAACTGATTATCATTATTTAAAAAATCATTAAAGAGATTGTAATTATTCATTATTTTAATGTTACAACATATAAATATAATATGACTAGACTACCAAAGATTGACATTGTAAGTGCTACTAAAAGGCATAGTGCTAGTCTATTCTTATTTCATGGTTCAGGTATTTATATTTATATTCATATTGTAATATCGTAAATAGCATAAATATATATTATAAATAATTTTTATATTATCAATTTTTATATAAATAATAGACACAAGTTAAAAATTAAAAAGTAAAATAAAAATTTTTCACATTTTTACTTTAGGATCTGCTGGAAATAATTTTAAAGAATGGATTGATATTTTAAATAGAGAAGAATTAAAATTTCCACATATAAAAATTATTTATCCTACTGCACCTTTATTACCTTATACACCTAATAATGGAATGGTAATAAATTAATAACAAAGTCAAAATATATATAGTGTAAAATACAATATAAAAAAAAAATATTGATAATTAATATAAAAATGAATGCTTTTAGCCTAGTCATGTATGGTTTGATCGTAAAGGCATATCTATTGATGCATCAGAAGATAATGAATCAATAAATTCAATTTGTACCACTGTTACAGAATTTATTGATAAAGAAATTTCTAATGGAATTTCTTCTGATAGAATTGTTGTTGGTGGTTTTTCAATGGGAGGAGCTCTATCATTATATTTATCATATAAATATAAATTATCTTTAGCTGGTTGTTGTGTTATGTCTAGTTTTCTTAACAAAAATTCATTAATATATGAGGTATGTATCTTATACAAATAATAAATTTTCATATAATTTTTTTAAAATTAACATATTTGATATATTTTTTCTTATTATAAATAGAATTTACAAAAAAATCCAAATATACGTACGCCACCTCTTCTACAATTCCATGGTATAGAAGATACACTTATTCCAATACAATGGGGAAGAGAATCTTATAATAATTTAATAAAACTTGGAGTTATTGCTCAATTTGTACCATTAGATAATATTGATCATGAATTAGGTAACAATCAGATACAATTTTTTAAAAAATGGCTTTTAAATATTTTACCAGAGAAATAATTTCTCACTTATTTAACTATTATATTAAATATAATATTTAAATTAAATAATAATAATAAAATATTTAAATTATATTAAATTA